AAAAAAAAAAAAAAAAGTAGGATAATAGTATTGTGGTTGTGTTTAAAAAGAATCCTTATCCTTTAGTGATATATAAGACATGTTCACAAATGAAAAGGTGTTTGGAATTTACTTCAAAATACCAGGGGAGGAGGGGAGAGGTGGAGGGGCGGAGGATGCATGATTAGCCCTGACTGGCAGTGGTGAGGGCTGGTGATGGGCAGGGGTCTTCGTGAGATTCTGGCTACCTCTGTCGGAAACTGTCGTGTTCACTAGTCCGTGGCTGTTTCAATGAGCTGATGGGCAGTGAAGAGAGGTGTGTCACCTCCCTGGAGGTACATCCGGAGAGATGAGCATCTCACGGGGGACAGCGGATGGATGCTGTGAAGTGGGGCAGTGCGACCCAACAAGATGCAGACGTCCAACCCCGAGTGTTACGTCCAGCCTTACTCTGAATCTAGCCTACGGTCAGTTCCTTGGGGAGTGCAATGCAATGATGTCACTCTGCCGAAAAGAGGCTTTTGGTTTTAGACCTCTGAAGAGTCAAGACTGAGTGGCTTGTTGAGTTCGTCACATCCCCAGATAGACACTTTTGTGAAGACCTGAATTGTGCACACAGTCGAAAACGCAGGAGAGGACAGTGCTAAAAGAAAACAATGCTGAACATGTCACTTTAAAAGATCACAGGTGTGTACAGATACACGTGTGTGAGCAAGCAGGGCTCAGTGCACACTCCTAGGTTTTCCAGCTCTGCCTGCTGAGAGGCCTGAAGCAGTGACACCCCAGGAGCCATGAGCACATCCAGCACCGAGGTCTCGGTTTCTACACACCATCCTCTAATAAAAGGTCATCGGTGGGGACTTCCCTGGTGGCTCAGTGGTTAAGAATCCGCCTGCCAATGCAGGGGACACGGGTTCGATCCCTGGTCCAGGAAGACCCCACATGCCACGGGGCAACTAAGCCCTGCGCTCTAGAGCCAGCATGCCACAGCTACTGAGCCCCTGCGCCACAACTACTGAAGCCCTTGCGCCTAGAGCCTGTGCTCTGCAACAAGAGAAGCCACTGCTCGCCGCAACTAGAGAAAGCCTGCGTGCAACGAAGACCCAACACAGCCAAAAATAAAATAAGTAAAAATAATTAAAAAAAAAAAAAAAACAGTCATCGGTGGAAAAGCTGGGGAAAGCCCAGTCAGGTACGTGCTACAGTTAATAGTAACGCCCCAGAGTGAGTGCTGTGGTTAAAAAAAAAAAAAAAAGTAGGATAATAGTATTGTGGTTGTGTTTAAAAAGAATCCTTATCCTTTAGTGATATATAAGACATGTTCACAAATGAAAAGGTGTTTGGAATTTACTTCAAAATACCAGGGGAGGAGGGGAGAGGTGGAGGGGCGGAGGATGCATGATTAGCCCTGACTGGCAGTGGTGAGGGCTGGTGATGGGCAGGGGTCTTCGTGAGATTCTGGCTACCTCTGTCGGAAACTGTCGTGTTCACTAGTCCGTGGCTGTTTCAATGAGCTGATGGGCAGTGAAGAGAGGTGTGTCACCTCCCTGGAGGTACATCCGGAGAGATGAGCATCTCACGGGGGACAGCGGATGGATGCTGTGAAGTGGGGCAGTGCGACCCAACAAGATGCAGACGTCCAACCCCGAGTGTTACGTCCAGCCTTACTCTGAATCTAGCCTACGGTCAGTTCCTTGGGGAGTGCAATGCAATGATGTCACTCTGCCGAAAAGAGGCTTTTGGTTTTAGACCTCTGAAGAGTCAAGACTGAGTGGCTTGTTGAGTTCGTCACATCCCCAGATAGACACTTTTGTGAAGACCTGAATTGTGCACACAGTCGAAAACGCAGGAGAGGACAGTGCTAAAAGAAAACAATGCTGAACATGTCACTTTAAAAGATCACAGGTGTGTACAGATACACGTGTGTGAGCAAGCAGGGCTCAGTGCACACTCCTAGGTTTTCCAGCTCTGCCTGCTGAGAGGCCTGAAGCAGTGACACCCCAGGAGCCATGAGCACATCCAGCACCGAGGTCTCGGTTTCTACACACCATCCTCTAATAAAAGGTCATCGGTGGGGACTTCCCTGGTGGCTCAGTGGTTAAGAATCCGCCTGCCAATGCAGGGGACACGGGTTCGATCCCTGGTCCAGGAAGACCCCACATGCCACGGGGCAACTAAGCCCTGCGCTCTAGAGCCAGCATGCCACAGCTACTGAGCCCCTGCGCCACAACTACTGAAGCCCTTGCGCCTAGAGCCTGTGCTCTGCAACAAGAGAAGCCACTGCTCGCCGCAACTAGAGAAAGCCTGCGTGCAACGAAGACCCAACACAGCCAAAAATAAAATAAGTAAAAATAATTAAAAAAAAAAAAAAAACAGTCATCGGTGGAAAAGCTGGGGAAAGCCCAGTCAGGGACGTGCTACAGTTAATAGTAACGCCCCAGAGTGAGTGCTGTGGTTCTCATGTGAGATGCTGTCGTTACAGAAAGCTGGGTGAAGGGTAGAAGACTCGCTATTCTGCAGTCTCATGTTATTTCAAGATAAAAAGATGAAGTTCCCTCTGGGAAAAAAGAACTGCCGGGCAAAAAATAAATGCATTAGAAGACTGGGCTTAAGACCATCCGGGAAGCTGTGAAGTCATGTTTTGTAGCTCACGTAGCCCGAGTATGAGTGACCAGACGTGGCCACGGCTGAGCACGCTGCAGCCTGCTCAAGGCAGCGCTCTCCCTCCTGAGAACGACCAGCCCCGAGTCTCACAGCCAGGAAAGACCATAAAAGGAAAGGCCTACGACTTCTGGACACTAAGTATCCAACTATTTTTCCCGTTACTCTGCCTGCAGCCCAGGGTGGGTGGGCTGGGGGACACGGAGCCTCGGTCCCTTGGTGAGTGGCCAGGAACCCCACCAAAGCCCCCCAGTTCATGAGGATTATCCAAAGCCAGCTGGCTACGAGCACATCATGAAACACCAAGGTAAGTGTAAACCCATCTGAAGCTCCTTATGTCAAGAGATTAGCCTACAGAACGGGCGTCCTTCTGTGTATGAATACTTTAGCTTTTGTTCACCTTTTCCCTCCTGTATTTGTTCCTTTCCTGTTTTATTATCTTTACATCATGCTATTTATAACTATGCAGAGTGCATCTTCTTAAACTACCAGTATTGCAATAAATTCACCGGAATTTAAAATGTGTAAGATTCACACTTCAAAACGAGTCCATCTGAACTTACCAAGCCAATGCACTTTTTCAATATACTCCACACGCTGAAATCACTTCTGGTAAACATCGGAGCAGGCAACGACGTCCTGTAAAGGGGTAACCAGAGTGACATGTATTTATTCAACCAACGTGAGAGTCACTTATGACCGATGGTTTCGCACAATGACCATGTCTTCCTTTAACCTTTCTAAGCATCAGCACTTCTCTATGCTGGCATATGCCTGCAGAGAAAAAAAGGACCAGACTGCTGCTGAGGTCCCAAAGAAAGCTTTCTGCATCGATCTTTGGAGGGCCTCCCAGGAAGCAATCATGGCCACACAGGCGATTTCCTCCACGGAGCTGGGGAGATGGGTCGCTGAGCCCCCGGGCAGCCGTGTGCCAGCAGCCCGGAGCAGCAGCAGGGCTGCAGACGGAGGTGGAGCCAAGAGGACCCCAAGAGGGAACTGCATGAAGAAAACCTCCTCAGGGGCTTCCCTGGTGGTCCAGTGGTTAGGACTCCACGCTCCCAGTGCAGGAGGCACGGGTTCGATCCCTGGGCAGGGAACTAAGATCCCGCGTGCCACGTGGCATGGCCAAAAGAAAGAGAGAAAACCTTTTCAGAAACCAGCTCTTAAACCCCTTTGAAGCCTGTGCTTGTCTTTCCTGAGGCACCTTCCTCCCCAGGTGTCTTCCCGCTGATGCCGGGGAAGCCCGGGCACAGGAGACCCTGCTCACAGTGAACTGGGTCGGGGGACCACGGGCCTGGGGGGGCAGGTGGGAGAGGAGGGCAAGGCAGCGGTAGACGAAATGGGAAAGAAAACTGACATTCACGAGGCACCATCTGCCAGGCTGCCGGCAACCAGCATGTGGCTCCACTCTGCCAGCTCTCGTCTGGGGTCCCGAGCGGCCAGGGCAGGACGGGCCCCTGCTGCGAGGGAGCCACGAGGAAGGAGCGTGGCTCCGTGGACGGTGGGAAAGGGGTCCAAGGATGACCCTGGGGAGGCAGGAGCTGAAGAGATGGAGGTGGAGGAGCGGGCCGGAGCCAGGGGCATGGAGCCCCGACGTGGCACAGGCCCCGACGTGGCACAGGCCAGGGGCACCGAGGACCCCAAGAGGCTGGGACCACAGACACGGGAGGGGCCGCCCCAGGAGAGAGGCGAGGGTGCAGGTCCTCAGCCTAAGAGGAGAGCCTTACTGTTCACGGCCCAAACCGCCACTTCAGAGAGGAAAAGGGGCCGCTGTCCCCGTCACTCGGGGCCACGTGCGCCTTGCCTGGGAAAGCGCACAATCAGACCCGTCCTCTGAGATAGCTGGAAGGAAGGAGGAGGGGCAGAGCAGTGAAGAGGCGCCTCCTTGGGGGATTCAGGAGCAGTGGTGGGAGGGGGCCGTGACAGGAGCGGGCGGGTGAAGGCACCCAAGGGTGTCTGGAGGCCAGCGTGTCAGGCCTGGGGCTGGAGACGGGAGGGAGGGGCGGGCCCTCGGGCGGCTTGAGCCAGATTCCCGCCTACAGGGTGCGGGGCGCTGACAGCAGAGGTCCAGGCCGCACAAGCAGGCAGAAGGTGCTCTGACAGCTCCGGGGCCCCAGGTGGGCACTGGGTGCCAGCGCAGGGCAGAGATCTGGGGTACAGCTGGGCTCCCTGGAGCCGAAGCGCAAACAGCGCGGGGTGGACAGAGGCTGCCATCTCCACCCACCTGACTCACGGCTGTCCCGCCTACGTCCCCCCTTCTGCTGGTGAAGGCTTAGGTCACTGTCATCAGAATCTGCTTGCATGAGAATGCAGTGCTGGTGGGGAGAGAATGGACTGCGGTCTCGCCGCACTAATAACTCACTCATGGGGTGAGAGGTCGACACGTCAAACGCAGGCGGCTGTGCGCGAAGCTAGCAGTTGGGTCTGATACCAGTGACCTCTGGCTCTGTGCCAGGCCCCCTGCCAACGCTAGGGCGCCCACGGAGCTCAGTCCTCCAGCAGCCCCAGGGCAGGGACGGCCGCCCGTCCACTTACAGATGGGGGTCACGCTGAGGAAGCACCATCACTGATCTCCAGGGACCACGCAGAGGCCAGTGGGTTTCGGGGTCTTTGGCTGAACAGGGCCCTGGGTCTGCCCAGGGGGCAGGGCCCAGGTGACATGGGACGGATGTTCCTCCAGCTCAGGGCCCGCTGCAGATGTGGGGCGAGGACAGGCGTGCTGGGAGACTCCAAAACGTCCGTGTGGGATGACATACCTGTGCTTTTGAATTCCATTCTCTTGAGGAGGCCTCTCCCCAACTTTTCCAATCCCATTACTTTTGCTGGTGTCCACATGAATCACGCCAGTGACTCTCTGATTTGCCTCTGAAAATTCCCCAGAAGAGTTATCAGAATCAAAGCCTGTGCGAGACAAGCAGAGTGGTAACTTCTGCAGGGCTTGGAATATGGAAAAGCCTACCTCTAAGAATTCTCACTCTGCAAGCAGGCACCTGAAGCTCGAGAGTGCTTTTTGACTGACACGTTCAGAGTAATGAACTCTGCTTCCCAAGAACCGAAGGTCGAGGCGGAGCACGAGGACCGCTCCCGGGGACTCCCCGCATGAGGCCACCACCCTGCCACCAGCGCCACACTCTCCAGGTCCTTACGTGGGGGGCGGCTCCTGGGCACTAGGACAGGTTTTCCCTGTTGTCGTCAGTGACCGTACCCCCTGGGGCGGCCACCTCTATGGTGTTCACACCTAACTCAGGCTGCAACCTCTTCCTCCACTGCACAAGCTGCAGTCAAGCTCCGCATCATGTCCTGAAACACAACCTGCTGCAGTGTTTCTAAGACCGAGCACCGCGCAAACACACCGCCAGAACCTACCAAACCAACCAACAGTAACCGAAACAGCAGACGATGGCTGCGAACGCAGAGGGCACGTCACGTACATGGAAACCTCGGGGAAAGTGAACTATTAGGACTTGTGTGAAATACAGTTGTGTGGTCTCCTGGCCCATCCCATCCCCCGAGTAAGAGTAACACCACCCTGGGCTGTGCTCCGTGCCCCTTCTGCAACGGGAACGCTTTCTCCCAAAGCAACCAGTGACTACAGGGAAAAGGAAAATGTGTTTCCGCTCAACTCAGCCAGTGCAATCCACTGAAATACTCAAGTTCTGCTGCAGAGCAGGCCCGGACGGGAGCTGTGGCTGCCAGGCCAAGTCCCTCCAGCTGCAGCGGGGGGCTCCTGACCACTGACTATCGATGGCCTTGACAACTTCAGCGAGGGCACAGCCCACGAGGAGCTCAGGGCTCCCATAACAGCCCCTCATTTCCGAGAGGAAGGTGAGGCCCAGGGTGACGGGCCAGGCGGTGACTATATGGTCAAACACGAAACACAAACAAACCTGCTGCTAAAAAGCCTCCTTGAGAAAATGCAAGAATAACCTCCCTTCGGATTCTTCTATATTGACAGATGCACAAAATATAGTAGTATTGAGATTGATTATGCAATGAATTTGAAAGGATATATTAAAAATGAACCTCTTGGACTTCCCTGGTGGCGCAGTGGTTAAGAATCTGCCTGCCAATGCAGGGGACACAGGCTCAAGCCCTGGTCTGGGAAGATCCCACATGCTGCGGAGCAGCTAAGCCCGTGCGCCACAACTACTGAGCCTGTGCTCTGGAGCCCGCAAGCCACCACTTCCAAAGCCCACATACCTAGAGCCCGTGCTCCACAACAAGAGACGCCACCGCAATGAGAAGCCCGCGCACCACATCAAAGAGTAGCCCCCCACTCGCCACAACTAGAGAAAGCCCACATGCAGCAACGAAGGCCCAACACAGCCAAAAATAATAATAAATTAAGTTTTTTAAAAATGAACCTCTTAAATAATCAATGCTTTCTGAAATAGCCTGTCACCTCTAGTTTTTGCTAACTATCCGCAAAGCAACATCTACTAATCCCCAGTCTAAACTTAGCCTGAAGCAGTCCCCGCTTAAGGATGCTCAGTCCTATGGACCTGGTGTTACCCTGCACGGGTGTCCCCAACTCCAAGGACCTCCCTCAGGGCTGAGATTCTGGGCCAGCATCAAGTAGAAAGTTCGTTTAAATCACAACCCTGGTGTGTGCCCAAGAAAACAAAGCAGCTCCTCCCTGACAAGCGCATTGAAGTCTTGTCTCTGATGAAGCCAACACTACGTAACAGTTTAAACACTTTAATATACAACACACGTTTATTATAGAAAAAGAAAATACAGACAAGCAAAGGAGATAGTCGAAATCATCTGTAATCTGATCACTCAGAGATACCCACCTTTGACAGGTCAGTCTGACTTTTTACAACCCTTAATCTGTACATATTTTTCATGTACTTTAAAAGCTTTCAATTTAAAGGTACTGATTCTTGGGCTTCCCTGGTGGCGCAGTGGTTAAGAATCCACCTGCCAATGCAGGAGACACGGGTTTGAGCCCTGGTCCGGGAAGATCCCACATGCCGCAGAGAAGCTACGCCCGTGCGCCACAACTACTGAGCCTGCACTCTAGAGCCCTCCCGTGGCAACTACTGAGCCCAAAAGCCACAACTACTGAAAATAAATAAATAAAGGTACTGATTCTTGTAGGAAGTAATTGCCTATCTTTTAAAAATTTATTTATTTGTTTATTTATTTATTTTGGCTGCGTTGGGTCTTCGTTGCTGCCCGTGGGCTTTCTCTAGCTGTGGCGAGCGGAGGCTCCTCTTCGTTGCGGTGCGCGGGCTTCTCACTGCGGTGGCTTCTCTTATTGTGGAGCATGGGCTCTAGGGGCGTGGGTTTCAGTGGTTGTGGCTTGTGGGCTCAGTAGTTGTGGCTCATGGGCTTAGCTGCTCTGCGCGGCATGTGGGATCTTCCCGGACCAGGGCACAAACCCGTGTCTGCTGCACTGGCGGGCGGATTCTTAACCACTGCGCCACCAGGGAAGCCCCAGTAATTGCCTAGTGAAGTCATTCATTTAATAACTGCTGGGTTTAAACACTTTTCAAATCAGAGTCACAAAGTAAGGCCGATTCTATAAACAGCAAAGTGGTCACTGTCTGGGTATTTCATCGTGTTAGGAGACTTCGTAGTTTTCAACTTTCTGTTATTTGCTTGGGAACCAAAGGGCTGAGGCGAGGAATTATTTTCACCTAGACATCTGCCTCTTCCGCCTGCATCTCAGGGATATGCGGAGAGGTCCCGCCGTGCGGAGAGGCAGGGATGGGGTCACCTACACACCGCACTCCATGCAGTTCAAGCCCTCTCTGGGGAAAGACCTTCCGGAGTATCGGTTACACTGGTCCCAGATGAAAGGGAGCTTCCCAGGAGGCTCCCAGGTGAGAAGGCCATGCCGAGGCCGGGCCCGCTTGGTCTCAGATGTGGTCAGCCTGCGAGGGCCAGGCGGCCTGAGGGCGTGAGTCCCTGACAAACACCCCGCTTGGGGGGAATTCAACTGCGGAAGACTACTGACGGGCGTGCGGGTTAAGCAGACAAGCACGCTTCCCAGGAAAACACGTCTACAAGGAACACAATAGCTATGAAGTCACGGAAGATAAGATGGCTCAGCAGTTCAGCCTTTGAAAACAGCGATGAGCTCAGGGCCTGCTCCTCCTGGGGCTTCGGACAAGAATCAGTCAATAATCTCAGGCTGCCCATCCCTCAACCTGCTCCAACCCTTCACTCAGGAGAAGCATGGCCGCTGAACACCCGGGAGCACAGGGCCAGGGCTCCACGAGACAGGAGCACCAGCAGGGACGGCAAAGGTGTCCCGGGGAACAGTGACAGTGCTCAGGAAAGAGCCTTTTGGCGTGCTGGGCACCACGCTCTTTCAGCACTGATTACGGAAGTGCCCCTCTGACTGCCCTTGGGAGGGTTAGCACTGAAAAACCCGGCGGCAGTAATATTTCAGAGCTGCTCTTTCTATGTTCCCACACCTGAGAGGGAGGCATGGGCTGGAAGAGTCTCCTGAAGTCCGTCTCCACCAACGGGACCCCTCACTAGAAAAAGCAAAGTGATGCTCCCCCTGCTGACGAGGAGGGTGGAGGGCAGACAACGGGGCGGGGGGGGGGGGGGGCTTGAACTTGAGTTCTGGGGC